ATCACACAAAATTTTATATGTTCCAATGGTTTCTTTTGATATTTTATCTAATAAATCAAAAACTTTATCAACACCTGTGCATTTATTTAAATAATAATTTGTGTAAATATCATGGTCTTCTTTCTTAATCGTATTTGTTGCATATGTTACATTTTTCAATGCTTTTTTGAATTTTTCAGAATCAAGAGGAGGTGAAAGTAATATACATGGATAATCTCCATCGTCAATAAACTGAAGCTTATGTTTATGAATAAATTTTGTGCCTTCTTCTGAAAGTGTTTCGTCAATATCACCATCTAATAAATTTTTAGTAGATTCCAAAAAGTAATTTTTATATCTTTCCTCATGTGATTTTTGAACTTCTGATTCTGAAGCTGGGATATTCATTAAACCCTCTACTTCATTCTCAGCATTTCTCAATTCCTTAATTTTTTCATCTATTTCATTTCTTAATTGTTCCAATTTCTCAATCTCATCGTTATAATATTCATCTTGTTTAATTTTTTCTTCAAAATATTCAGGAGGTGTTTCAAGGCTCTCTGAGCCCAGGTCCTCTGGACCATAAAGAGGAATATTCTCCTGTTTTTCAACTTTTTTGGGATATAAATATCTCATTATAGCCTTTTTAGTAATTGGTCCGTTATATTTAAATTCATTCAACAATCTGGAAAACTCTTTCACATTCTGCATATATGTTGGATAAGAACCGTCTCCAAAATTTTCTAAAATATTTTCTAATTCTGAATTAGTGAACTTTAAAGATTTCAATGAATTAGTTGTTATACTCATTTATCATTAAATAAAAATTAGAATATAAGTGATGAAATATATTTTTAATTAATATTAAATCTTGATTTATTCAAAAACGTAAGAATAAAAACCGTAAGAATCATACATTTTTTACTTCATATGTTAAAAAAAATGATACAAAATCGTTCAATATTGTATGAATTCTTACGTTTACAAAAAAAGTCACACAACCCGCATCATATACTACTCTGCTTGTTTATTCAATTCACAGTTTATTTTTATTTTTATATTTAAAAATATAGCAAAATAAAGTAATACAAGACATTCTTATATCATTTAAATTTGAATACCATACCGGAAAACCCGATTAGGCATTTATTCGCTGATTTGTCTTCTCTTTCGTTTGGGTTAAACAAATTATCGAGAAGATAATGTTCTCTCTTGTATTTCGTTCTCAAAATTATGAATGATCTGAATAAGAATGCAAAATCTACAATCTCATCACCGCTACTGATGTGTTGATATCAAATTTATTCATCAAATGGATTATTTTATGTGACAAATTATTTTCTGCTCAAATATTGAAATGTACAGATCTATAAAGTCACCAACAAATAAGAGAATAATTATTAGAAGATAAATACATTGTCTTTATATCTTTAACACTATTCAAATCGTGACCATTGCTTTACAGCAGTATTACATGCAGCAAGTATCTAGCAACCATAATCATAGCTCAGTAGTGTTCATTTTTTTCGATGGTTTTTAATTCAGCAACAAATATTTTTTAGCAATGGCAGAAAATGATCCGAATTTTTATCTCGCAGCAAGTAAAATGCACATACATCAGAAAATGAAATTATGTCTCAACCGTATGAAATGCAAATCTTATTTTTGTCAAAATCTATAACCTTATCAATTTTTTTTTTGAGATAATGATACCTTTAGATTTAAATGCCTTCATGAGAAGATGGTGTATATTGGGGTACATCGTTACAAAACTTCTTTCGGCATTTATTCGGCAGACAATAATCCATCAGCAAACGTTTTATTATTCATGTAACGAAAAAATCTATACAACATTCAAATCTCAATGGTTTAATGTGGTAAACATGTCTGTAGCTATGATGCTTGCAACTCCTTTCGCCCTTCTAAATGGGGGAACCAACGTTTTTAAGAAATTATTTCAATTACCAATGAAATTTCTCTTACTTATCTTCGTTTGCTCATTTTGCGACATCACACAATGCTTTACCAACGGGTAGAATGCTTGTTATCGGCGGCCTATCCTTCTCTTCCCTGATAGAAATCCTAACAATCATTTGTATGATTTTTTTCAGAAGAATTTTTCTGAAAAAACATATGTACGGTTATATGTGGATTTCAGTTGGCCTCTGTTTTCTAGCTATAATTAGCCTGACTCTCTCACAGTTGATGTCTTCCTCGTCGAGTTCACTGAAGCCAATGGTTTTATTCGTTAATATCTTCTTGAGCCTATTTAGCGTGCTTTTAATCGCAACACAATATATTATTCAAGAGTACGTCATTCATAATTCTGATCTCGAGCCAGAAATACTTGTTGGTTGCATCGGATTAGGAGATTTCGTTATTATGATGTTTATGATCTATCCGTTTGTATATTTCGTGAAAGATAATGAAACTTTACTATACACGAAAGCTTTTGCCAGGTTTTTGAAATGTTTATTCATTCAAAAACTATAATCTTCTCTTATTTCATTTATATCTGCATAATTATTATTCTTAACATGTCGTTTGTGAAGCTAATCCTGTATACAAACTCGATTTATGCAGTAATGTATGATATGCTCGGTGAAGGTTGCAAAAACCTTATTGAAATCATTAAGGATCTGACTCCCGGCTTTCCATTTAGAGTAGAAAAGACAAAGAAGGCTCTTACTTACTCAATTACTTTTAATTCTCTTTCGATGATTTTAATTATTTCTGCTTTAATGTTTTTGACGGAATTAATTAAAATCCCGGGATTTGAATACCCAGAACCCGAGAAATTTTTGATCCCCAATAACAGATATCTACCTCAGACAGATCTTAGCGAAAAAGAAAATGCGCAATTTGTTTGATATTATCAACAATTTATTTGTAAATGTAGATTATACTATCTTACTCTGATCTAAGTTTTTTAGATTAAATGTGACTGTGGTCAATTTTGTTTTGTTTCATCGCAACAACCACATTATAAGGTGCAAAAGAAAATAGATGGTTATGATATGTGCGCATAGGTTAACTATATTCGTTTCAAAATTATCCATTTTGCTCAAAATTCAAAATCGATTTTTTTTTTTTAAAAGATTTCCAGTTCAGCATAATCAATCATGATTTCAAATGGATTTAAGTCAAAGTTGATTAGATATCTACGCTAAATAATTCTTATTTCATAGAATAAAATGTTTTTTGTTGGACTGGATTCTGCGAAAATTGAATATTCTATTTTTGAAGACCTAAGTGATGGTGCTCTTGTATTACAGATTCCCAGATTATTTATAAATCAAGCGGCATTTTTAAGTGTTCGTGCAAGCAATCCAATATCATGGATAACAAATGCCCGGTCTGCAATAGGATTTCAAGGAATAGTAAGCGAGCTATCTAATCTCTTTTTAAATAATATTTCAAGAGGAGAGAGTATAACTACATTTGCAACAAATGAAGATAATTGCCATCATCATTTAAATAATACATCAAATTCTGATTCAAAAAATGGAACTATTAGACTGAATTATGGAAATGTATTTTCTAAAGGTGTCAATATTTCAAACTGTATGGCCGAATTCCCTCATCCTGGCGGAATCCCATTAAAATATAAATTATTTGAAGGCAATTTTATGAATAATCACAACATTTATTATTTTCTTATGATAAAAGTAGATACCAATTCGTTTCTGCGAAGGTGGTTTATTATTTTAACAGTCATACTTAAGATTACATCATCCTTAATCAAACTTAGTATTCGAGAAACAGATTGTACTATCGATTATCCACCTTACAAAGCAAAGTTTAGTAAAAAATTCTTCAATCTCATATTTATGTCAGCGGGAATGTCTTTGGCAATACCATGGGCGCTTGTTCTCAATAAATTTAAGCCAAACGATTTAAAAGTTAAAGTTCCTTTTAATATGAAGCTTTTGATTCCAATAATTTCTATGTTAGATCTTTTTAATACATTTTTCAGTAATTTATCAGCACTAAATAAGGGAATATCCCTTGATTCTTTTGAATTAGCTTTAAATGTCATCGCGATCATCATTATACAAAAAGTTTTCATGCACAAAGCCATGTACACTCATATGATATTAGCTACTATCGCTTTAACTTGCTCAATAATCGTTCAAATAACTAATGATTTTTTAACTAATGAAAATAAGCATGTTGCCGTCCCAAACCTAGTTTACTTAGTTTTAGCATCACTAATGAAAGCTATTCATGCCATACTTTGCCAATACGTTTTACAAAATTCAGATGTAGATCCAGAACTTTTCATCGGATTTGTTGGCCTAGTCAACCTAGTCATAGTGCTGTTCATTATATATCCCATAGTAAGTCTCATTAAAAAACCATTCTGCCATGAAAACCTTTGCACTTCATTTCGAGAATTTTTCAGTTCAAAACCTCTGATTTTTGGCTATTTCGTTTACTTCTTTAATTGTTTCATGTACAATGTATCGATAAATAGAGTGCTCCTTTATACAAGTGCCCTTCTTTGGTCGATCTACTTAATCCTGAGTGATGGAATTAAAGGAATAATAGACATTATTAGTTTCCTAATCAAAGATTTCCCTTTAAGAAAGGACATACCGGATGAGCATCTTAATGTAAAGCTTATCTGCACTTCTCTTAATGTTTTCTTTCTTGCAATCGCAATTTTATTATTTACTGAGACAATAAGAATCCCTTGCGTTAAATACCCTGAAGCTGAAAAATACGTAGTTCAAATTAACGAGATAAATAAATAGAAGAATAAGTTATTTTTATAAAAATTTTTGTTGATATTTATTTCATAGTATTCCTTTTTATATCTCACAAGACATCTCGTAGTTTATTGAATTGATGTTCAGCTATATCTTGAAAATGGATAAATTACCTTATTGAATTTAAATTTAAGGCTATTTTTGAGAAGAAACGATATTCACACAATTGAAAATTTATTCAAAAACGTGACAATTAACCTCATTCCTTACCATTGAATCAATTTAATATATTTATTCATTTTTTAAATAATGCATTTACCACAAATCGGCTATGGCACATTCTATGCTACTGATAAAGTTAGATTAAAAGCAGCTCTTCATTATGCAATTGAAGAATGCGGAATTAGAAGTATTGATACTGCTTGGTCTTATTTTAATCAAGAAATCATCGGTGAAACACTACAAGAAATCTTTTCTAAAGGCATCATTACTAGGAAAGACATTTTTATAACTTCCAAATTATGGAATACTCACCATCGGCCAGATTTAGTTGAAAAGGAGTTACTACAAACATATCACCAGCATGAGTTGATTTAATTGCTCATAAAAAAGGTTCAATTTAGATATGGATTACATTGAGCAATGTATAAAATCATTTCTTGAAAAAGTTAATCTCAATCTGCCATTGAAATTAATTATTTTATGCTTTCAATTTATAACTTTCACTTTTTGAAAATTATGATGAAATAAACATTATCATTTGATATCTAAAAATGACAATTTTGAACTTTTTATGAGCGATAAATTGAATTTTATCCCAATACATAAATAATGCTCCCTTTTCTTCTTTCAACAAGAATTTTAACAATAGGAAAATTATCAACTGAGAGAGCACTGTTCGATCTTAAAATTGGAGAAAGTAGTTCAGAATCAGATGCAATTTCAATTACAAATGAACAAAAGGGCTTCATTTATTGCTTTAAAAGTACCACTGAGCCAACTGATGATACATGCCAAATCACTGGTTTAACAGCTACAGCTTCTGCCATTCCAACAAGTGGCAATGAATTAACAATAACCTATACAATTAGTTCTCAAAAGAGTTCTATAGAGAACTTTAAATTTGGTGTATCAGCAATGATAAATATTCCACCAACAGATGGAACAAACAAAAATAACGTATACCGAATTGATCAAACCAAGCAATACTTAATTTATAATCCTGATTCTACAACTAGAGATAGAATAATCTTTGATTTTGGCAATTCACCAGAAGAGAACCAAAAATTCCCAACAAATTACGAATGCTCAACTTCTGATGGAACTACTGCTATTGATCCATTTAGAGCAGGTTCTTTTACAGATGTTGATAACTCGATAATTGGTGTTTCTTATTTTTGGGAGGGTTTAAGTGTTTCATCAGATAACTCGGTTACATTAGTAACAAAAGTTAAATTAGTTGAAGGAATACCAATCACTGCTATAGTAGATGGAGCAGTAGATAAAGGATCAACAAAACAAGTCACTATTACACCTCAATATCTTAAATCGCAGACTAATTATTACCTTTACTACTCAACGACAGGAGATGGATCATATTCTCAAGTGACTGAACCTTATACATATACAAGTTCTACCACTTTCGATTATACAACAGCACAATTACAAAAATCAACAACTTATTACTTTTATCTGAGCGAAAAAACTGGTGATACTTCAAACACAATAGGTATTGCCAGTGTTACAATAAAAGTTAAGCCTTCTGTTGAGATTCCTGAACAAGCAAATAACAAATTTTACAAATCTCAAACTCTGACAATTTCTGACATCAAAATATATGGTGACGGTCAAACAACGTTAGAAATGTCGTTGACAGGAGATACAACTAAAGTAACAAATACATATAATTTAGCAGATACGAACGGTGAAAAGACAGATATTCCGTTTGTAAAGGCTTTGACAGATTATAGTGGTGAAATTATATTAACTGCAAAAGTGTCAAACGATGATGGCGAAACTTCAAAGACATTTACATTTTATGTTTATGATGATCCAACTGCTACATGTGCAACAGATCCAGAAAATACGTACACTTATAGTAGTAGTGACGAAACTACATCAATAACTATTAAGTGCACAATAGCCGATGAAATAATAACAACAGGAAAATATACATATCAATTAGGAACATTTTCAGAAACAACCGAGCAAACTTATTCAGAAAATAAAATTGAAATAACAAAGACAATTAAGGATTTTGGAATTAAATATGATAAAAATGGACACACTTTTTCGATTACAATTACAAATGATAATACAAAACCAGTCACAGTAACCTCATCTGAAATGAAATTTCATATTAAGAACAAGCCTAAATTATCGTCATATAGCGGTAGCATAATTGGAACTCCAACATCTTCAACAACAATTAAATTTATTTATAGTGATATTGATGATGGAAAAGACCTTTACTTGCACTATAACGATAAACATACAGTTGAATTAATAAGACAAACAGCTCCAAAATTAACATCAAACGGAACAGCTGAACAAGAATATTCATTTGGATACACATTTACTCAAGATACTACCAAGGATTATAAGTTTTGGCTTTCAACAACTAGTGATACTTCATCAGTGGCTGATGATGATGCATATAAATCTGGTTTTCTTTATCTTACTTTCACTTCAAGAAGCCTTTCTGAAGTTACATGTGAAACAACCAAAACCATTTATTCAAATACAGATACAACAATAAGGATCACATGTGACACCCATGATCAATATGTAACAAAAGGAAAATATAATGTAACATTAAATGCAAATAGTAAGAAAGATCAAGAATACACAGAAACTCCATTTAATATTGATCTCACTATCAGTGAGTTTTCACTTGTTTACAAGGATGGAGGATATCCACTTACACTCGAGATGATAAATGAAAACAACGAGCAACTTACCATTTCAAGTCAATTGAATTTTAATATTATGAATAAACCCAGTATTGAATCACCAACAGATCAAATTGTTGGAGAATCAGGGCAAACTAAAATAATCACATTCAAGATTAAAGATTTTGATGATAGCAAAAAACTTTATTTGCATTACAAGGAGAAGAACGTCCAAGATTCTCCAACAACAACATATGAAACGCCATTCACATCAAATGGTTCGCAAGATGCACAAGATTTTCAATTTTCATATATATTCCCAGCAGAACCCTTAGATAAAAATTATGAATTCTGGTTTTCGACTATACAAAATTTTAAAAATGGTGAATCAGATGTATTTGATTCAAATCATCATCCTCTTCGTCTTATTGGAAGAACTAAACCTACTGTCACATGTAACTCAAATAAAGATACTTATTCTGATACAGAAACAATCACAGTCACATGCAGTTATGAAGATGTAATAAAAGGAGGTAAATATAAATACACCTTTAATGGAAAAGAATCCAGCGAAACTTCATATGAAAATACAAATACATTCCCAATAGAGATCTCTACTTCCGGTATTTCATATTCAAAAGATGGTTATCCACTTGCAATTACAGTAACAAATAGTAATGGCGAAGAACTCCAGGTAACTGGAACATTGACTTATTACATTGTCCATCAGCCAACTATTTTATCATATTCAGGAACTACTTTAGGAACACCAGGATTACAAAAAGCAGCAGTTACATTTACAATCAAGGATAACGATGACCATAAAATTCTTTATATGTACTACAAAGAAAGAGATGTCCAAGGTGCTACAATAACTAAGCTTCCAGGAAATTTCGAATCTAATGGAGGAAATAAGCAAACATATTCACCAACAATAACTTTCCCATCTCCAGCAGGAACAAAAGTTTATCTATTTTGGCTCTCAAGATTCGATACATCAGATACAACTGATATTGTCAAATCAAATGATTATGAATTAACCCTAAGATCAAAAGATCAAATAACAACGACAATTGCATGGCCAACAGAACAATATTACACGAATAATGATCAGATAACTATTGATTTAGGAACAAATTCTAAATGTACATTTGATCTAGTTAAAGATGATGGTTCAAATGAGTCAATTACAGTTCCAGAAAATCAAAGAACTTATAAATATACTGTTACAGATTTAGGATATCAAAGTAATAAACCATATACATTAACAATCCAGAACTTGAAGGATAGCGATGAAATGGAGATACAAACAACTTCTACTTTAACATTTACATTTTATTATAGAACAAAGCCAAAAATTACATCAAGTTCTATTGAACCTCCTTATTTAACAGACCAGAAATCATTTACTTTGAAGACAACTGTTGAAGATAAAGATGAAGGCAAAGTTCTTAAATTGAAACTAAAAATTGGAACAAATGAAATTCAGATATCAGACACATTTACATATTCTACCCAAGATAATAATAAAGACTGGACAATCGATTTTACATCATTAAATTTAGGCGAAGGAACTCATCATCTTGAGTTTTATTTGATTTCTGATGATTGTCCTGAGGAAACATGTTCAGCAACATCTGATAATGTTAGAAGATCCAATGTTGTTGATGATAAATCATTCGATATTGTTGATCCAATTTCATTCACAATAACTTCAGAGAAAGATAAATCTTATCAAAGTTCAAATCCAAATGGAATTCCAATCCAGGGAAGGATAACTGGTTCCGGAACAATAACATTCACTGCTGTTGATAATGATGAGCATATAACAGTTGAAGGAACAGTGAGTGAGGTATCATCAACAGAAAAGGAATTTACAGCAACAGTTAAATATCCAAATACTATAACATATGGCAAGAAAACAGTAACAATTCAAGCAGCTGATACTCACCAGCAAACATCTACACAAAAATTTAGCTTTTGGATTAAGAATGTTCCAACAATTTCTGATATTGTATACACTCCAAATGCAGTTAAACCAGGTGATAAATTCAAAATTAGTTGCAAAGTAACAGATCAAGATATTGCTAAAGGAAAGAAATTAAACTTGTTCATTTATGATTCCGAAAACAAGAAATATGAAAAAATTGCTGTTGACCAAAGTGACAAAACATTGACATCAAAAGAATATCAATTCAACACAGAAGGAGAAAAACAATTTAAGCTCATTTTGACAGAAAAAGATACAGAACCAACAGACGCAGATATTGTTAAAGAGGAACCACTCACAGTAAAAGTTGACAAACCAGAATCAGGAAAATCTACACCTGAACCCACAACAGATCCAGAAGATCTTAAGGCAAAAGAAAATGCTGCCAAGAAGAAGAAGACAACAATAATTGTTGTCATTGTTGTAATCTGCATAGTTTTGCTTATCATTGTAGCTATCGTTGTTATATTGAAGATGAAGAAATCAAGTAATAAGGATTCATCTTCATTCAGCATTTCCGATGATATTCATTTCAATAATAATGAGACAATATTGGATGAGGCCAGACCTACCCATAATGTTACAATGCAGAATCCATTGTTCTTAACTACAAATAATGTTGAGTCGGATGAATTATTTAATGACGGTGAATAAAAATTTAAATATATATGAATATTTTTACTTGTTTTTATGATTATGCATTGCCATTGAATAAAATTATTGATACCAAAAGGTTTATTGAAACGAATATTTTGAATGAAAGATTTACATATTAGGTGTTGCTTATTAGATTTGAATGATTGAAACTGTTTTCAATTTTGTCAATAATTTGAACATCTTATTCTTGTTGTTTCAACTAATAGAATAAGATGAATATGTAGTTTTATTCCACAACGACAGCTGAATAAAAATAGTTTTAATTTGGAACCGGATCTACAATTTGCATAATTTTAAAAACGCATACCATAAAGCTGAATAAAAATTGTTAGGTGAGATTGCATAATTTTAAAAAATTGCATTTCCATTTCATTTTTAAGTTTTCTCTTCATATGAAAATAAAAATGAAAGATGGTAATATCGTTAGAAACTGCTTAACAAGATTAGAAAATAATATTTTATATATAAAAACAAACAAAAAAAAAATAATTAATTATTCTCCTCTGTTGATATACAATTCAACATCTACATCTCTTGGAGGCAGATATGCAACAAATCTTTTATCAGCATCATTGATTGCTTCGTATTCATCCTTCAAGATACAAAGTTTTCCTGCAGGAACGACGTCAATTAAATCAAATACTTCAATGGCAGAATCTGACAAAACATCGAAAATTGTTTTAGAAATTCCACTCATGTATCCATAAACAATTCCACTTTTGATTAAACCGCACAAACTTTGTTTCTTCTTGAAAATATCTTTAACTTTCTTTCCGCATTCATCGCAAAATCTAATGAGATCTTCAATGTTTTCTTTGCAACTTTTCTCTTCAAACAAACCAGCAATAAAAAGAAAAGTTCCATTGAACGTCCTCAATCTCATAATGTTTTTGTTTTGTGACATAATTTTGTCACTCAAACTCATGATTATTTCTGTAACATCTAATTCAGTTAACCTTAATTCCGGTTTGACAGCGGTTTTGGCGGTTGCACACATAATAGCGCAATTCTTTCCAACAATTATATCTTTCAAATCATCTGTCAAAAACTTTTCTGAAATTTTCTGAGGAACTAACCGCCAAAGTAAAGTATTCAATTTTTGTTGTTCGAATTTGAACTCTTTCTTGAGTTGGTTGACATCAGACATGTTCCTCATCATCAAAGAAAAATATATTTCACCTTGATTTTTCAAAGGAATCAGAACACTTTGAAATTCAATGTCACTTTTCGAAAATAACGTGAAAATTTTTCTTGTACATACTCCTAAAGGTTTCGATGTCATGTCTAAGTACTCAAAAAACTCTCTATTCCTGTCAATGCCAAGTAAATTTGTCAAAGGTGAAGTGACTATTTTGTCAGATGGCAAACCGAAATCAACCGTCGATTGTAAGTTACAACCTGTAATTTTCAGGTCATTGTCAAAGAAAATTACTGATTCTTTCATTTGGCTGACAATTATTTCTGACATTTTTGTCAATTTTATTTTGTCACTTTTTGACAAAAATGGATTTAAAGCATTTATCATATTTGATTCTGTTGAAGAGTATTTCGAGTGTAGAATCAAAACTAAATGCCTTGCATTATTCATTACGTTCTTGATATTCAATATATATCTGTAAGTAATGATACAAAATAACAAAATCAATGTAAAAACAACAAACCAATAAAAGAAATCAATATATTTCAAATCGGATGTTTCAATTCTAATGTTATAATCCTTTTGTAAACTATTCAATTCTTGAATAGCTTCATTTGACAAATTTTCAATGATTTCCAATGAATTATTAACATTGAAATCATTTTTGTCAATAAAATTATTCCATTTATCAAAAATTGGCAAAAGATTATTGTCAGAAAAATTGACAAAAATTTTCGGAGGAATAATTTTGTTTTCACTATTAACAGAAGAAATATTTGATAACAAAGAATCGAATTCGAAGTAAAGATTAGACACCTGTTGAATAAAACCTTGTAATTCAACAGCTTTCGACACAAACTTTGATTTTGCATTATTATAAAGAGACATTACAACAGCAATCATCATATATCTTGCAGCAAAAATCAAAACAGTATAAATCATATAAGTATCAGGTCTTCCTGGATCAAAAATATTCAAAATAATTGGTTGATCAAGGGAATTATCAATAATATCAGAGAAATCATCACGCCCTATATGGTCATAATTATAATTATCTTCTAATTCTTCTAAATCTAATGCGCCATCATTATCTACATCAATATCATTGAAATTTCCTGATTTGTTCATCGTATTGATTTGTATATACAAATTAGATCTAAATTCTTCAATAGTAGATGTCTCTATTCCTTCAAGAATTTTAACAATAGTTTGTAAATATCTTCGTGTCAAAAATACGTTACAAAAACAAAAAAGTGACACTGGGGTTAAAGTAATAAAAAATGGAACAATAATTCTAAAAACAGGTTTGTCAGTTTTCATTAATAAAGCGCAATGGCAATATCTATCTGATATGTATTCTATTATACCTGATAATTTCTCAAATTCTAAATGAGATTGTTTGAGATTTTCAAAATTGTTCGGATCAAATTTTGACAAAATTAATCGTTTTGACAAAATATTGTAATAATTATTATTAAACTTGTTGAAATCATACTTTTCTATGTCAATGATTGGTTTGTTATCAATTTTACATGTAAAAGAACTAAGATATTTCTGGATCGCTGTAAATGACATAGAGTTCAATTCATTATATAATTTTTTGTCACTTTTCAAAGTTTTGTTGTAAGAATTAAAAAATTCTTCGACATTGTTGATTTCCATGGAGATTTTGAAGTAAAAAGGAGAATGAGAACTATTGAAGTACTCGGAAGACACGAATTTCGACGAATTCACATATATCTTTGATGAAAAAATTGGAAAAATAAACATAAAAATGACAAAATATGACAAAAACTGACTTATTATATAAGGATACAAAGGTAATTTGTCTAATATCTTTTGATTCGATATCGCATTAGAATAATTTTCATTTTGTGTATAAGTAATATCAAAATAAGGTTTTTCTATATCAAATTGTGTTATTTCCTCACTTTCTGTAGTTTTCAAAAGCTGAAACTTTGTTTTTGAATTTTTTGCCATTATATATTCACCCAACAAAAAATCGCCTGCATATTTATTCAAGAAATCTCTGTAAGATTCAATTAATTCATTCGATCTCGGGTTTCCTTCTATTGCATACTCATTCATTGATTTAAAGTCATGACAGACAATGGAATAATTAATTAATGTTGAGAATTTATGACTAAAATACGTTGTATCACACATAGAATTCGAAAACGCGTACAAATAAATTTTTGTTTTTTGTTTTTGTTCTTCTAAGAATTTTAAAGAATTTTCAATATCTTCTTTGTTATATTCCAATCTATTCATTTCATATTGTAGTTCACATAAAAATGGTTTCGAAGCTAAAGCCAAATTCTTAATATCTACTTTAAACAATTTCTCTCTTATTCGATGAGGAATTGTAGAAATAATCATTAACATTTTCGCACATTCAATTGTCAAATTTTCATCAATGTCAGAATCAATAATTGCGATGATTAATTCAGTCAATTCAGGGTATTTAGAAAGAAACATGTAATGAGTCATGATCATTAGATTCGATGGTGAATACCGTGGAACTTCTACTTGATTGTCAATGTCAATAATCAAATCTGATTCAATATGAAAAATTTTGTTATAAAAATTACACCATAAATGAAAAACTTTTGCGGCCAAATAAAATCTCCATGTTAAAAATGTAAATAACATAATCATAATCTTAATAAAAATATTAAATTCAAATGCATGAAAAAAGAATGATAAAATAATGACACAACACATGTGTCCTGTTGTAAATAACGCGTAAATGTTGGAAGGAGGTGAAAAATATGGTAATGTTCCAAACCATAAAAATAATCCAAAAGCGATGACAAAATTGACACTCAAAACAATATATATGCCTTTCTTAAATAGTTTCTGGAAGATCCAGATCTGTTGAGCACTTGATGTTAATAAAAAGATATAAAAGTAGTTCAAATGTCTCCAAAACGCGTGACAAACTGAGTCTCGTGATGTAGCTGATCTTCTGAATAATGAACCTAAGAATGTATAAGAAGCAAAGATGATAAAAGAAGATATTCCTAAATAAAGTGATAAATATGAAACTTCATGGTCTATTATTTGAGAAATGATTAAAAGCAATATGGATGATGAGTATGCACCGAATAATGGACAAAGTTCTTGAATAATGAAACAAATTACAGCGGCTGTTTGATGTCTGATGAGTTTATCGCGATGATAAAAGTAGTATAGTACGTAAATGCTAAAAGAAATTCCGAATGTAAAGAAAAATGTGGCGATGTACTTGGCTCCTAGAAAATTTAAGGTGACAACGTTATAAACAAGTTCCCCGAAGAAGGCCGTGAATTTAGAATCGCCTAAACTCGCGAGTAATTCATGATAAACGGTGAATTTAAAGAATAATAAGATTGGCATCATCCGCTCTATAATATTTCGTATTCTAGGATACATATCTTGGCGTGAACAAATGAGATGGAAGAAATAAAAGAGTTCGCTCCATCCAGAGAGGTTCGTCCAGATTGGAAATCCTTCATTCTTCATATTTTGAATTTTTTTTTCTCACAAAATGCCTGTAAATTCTTAATTTGAAATATTTCAATATGTGCTTCAAAAAAGCTTCGATCTGTTTTATTGTAAAGTTCATATCTTTTGAAGGAAATCAAATTGAATGATGTATAATTCAAAAAGAACCCTTTCAATTTTTTGCAATTTAATGTTTTGTATTGGAATAGATTTCAGATAAAGTGTATTATCGAAAATTTTGAATTCATTGAAAATATTATTATGCAATTTCATTTAAATTATAATCAAAATATGTATCTAATGCTATGCGATAATTTTGGATTGAATACACAAAGAAATTTCATTTTAGGGTTAATAATAAAATTAATACATATTAATAATAAGCCAAATAATAAACTTGAACATTTTTCATTGGATTACGATAGAATTCAATTTTTTGATAAGGCTTTTTTTAACGGAAAATATATGCAAACAAGGCAAATACTATGCTAAATTTTCGAATTTTTGAAAAATACAATTTTTATCTTTCAAATTTTTAAATTCCGAAAATAAATCGATTAACCAATACATTTTACTGACGAATTACATAAGTAACTTTTTTGTTGCATAATAACGTCCTAATTGCCTTAAGTTTTGCATTCTAAAAACCATGTTAATTTAATTTTTTATTCAAAAATGTATTTCAATTTATATCCTCTTTAATTCATTAATTTCAACTTCATGTTTTAGTCTTCAATCCATCAACAGTTACTCAATTTCCTGAATATTGCACTACAATTTTTGCAACGTCTAAGATAATGTTACATTGAGTGATGATATTCTTGTTACTGCAACGTAAAACTATTGCAGTACTATATTCTAGATCATTAGAACTGCTGCAATTTGATATCATACATAAATTAATTTTTCTATCATTCCAAACATAAAAGTAGCATGCACCTACTGTTTTACAGCTACATACATTATCATTCTGAATTTTTATTTTTCCATTCATTAATCTAATTAGAGCAGCGCCAATTCCATTGTTTTTTACACAATTGGCAATACTAGAGTAATTTACTTCTTTAATTCCAATTTGTAATTCAACAAATGAGTTGCAAAACTAATCACCTTCATAAAATGCAATTGTTCCTCTGGCATTTACAAAATTGCTATTTAATATATGAGTAAATTTGAATCTGTATCCATTTTTAAATTGAATTGAGCCTCTAGATCTCAAGTTTTCTACATCAATAAATATATTTTTAAAATTTGAATATTCAGCAAGAAGAGAAGCATTAAGTGATGTATTTGCTTGAATAAATATTGCTTAATATGATAAGACTGCTACATATGAAAATGCCAAAAAATAATTTCCAGATTCTGTGATATTGATTATCAAAGATATGGCTTTGTACTCTTTATTTTAATAATAATCATTCCAACTTAATTGCAGGTTGATGTTATTAACTGAAGTATATCTTTTACTTCTGATGAATAGAAAATTCATGAAAAAATGAATCCAAATAATGATGTATCGGAAATGTCAAATTCTTTGAATGAAAAATTATGTTATGAATAAAATAAGAGATCTCTTGATACATTGTAGTTTTTCTTGATACCGAGTTTTTTCCGAAAAAAAATTGAAAGAGGTGTTTTGTATCGATTTAATGAGACCCATTATGTAGTATATATTAATCATATTTTATAAGGTATGAATTTTTCTATAATGAAAGACGATATATTTATACAGAATTTGAAATATGATCCAATAATCAAATATAATTAATAATACAATAATACAATGGATTGAATTCTGCCATAAATTGAAAAATATATATTGAAAAATTTGAATCCATTGAATTTAACAAAACGTACTGCATAAATCATGATAAAAACAGAAAATAGTTTAGAAATAGACGAATGTAAAATTTAATGTCCTCAAATTTTTGAATGCCATTGAAAAAGAAATCACAAAACAACTTTTTGTTTCGTATTTATTTTAAATTATTAGTATATTATTGCAGATCTTTGAAATTTGATTTTTCAAAGAAATCGAATATTCCGATTTTTTTATTTATATATATTCATATATCTACTATATGCAAATTTTCTATTCCTTATCAAATTTTTTTTTCAATCAACACAAATTTTTCATAAAGAATGGAACCCGAAGAGGCTGAGTATTTTGAGAAGCATGGACTTATATTTCAAGAGGTTATTGCTCATGGAGGCTATGGAATGATCTTCAAGATGTATAGTCCAAGTTACAACCAAATTTTCGCCCTTAAGAAGATTAGTTCAGAGCTTTTCCATCCAGAAGAGATTGATTGCTTCAAATTGATTGATGATAACAGAATACTCAATCTTTATAAGTCTTACGCATTCAATGGATTCAACTACCCTTAAATTTTTGTTATTGGACAAAAAAGTGACACCAAATCACACTTGTTTGTTGGATCTTACCATTCCAGATAAATATAGCAACTTGATTTTATGAAATTAGATAGCTATATATGTTTACTTTTATCCCGTGTTGTTTTCTCGAAAACCTAATATCCTATGGGGATGCTGATTTTGAGCTTGTGTAAAAGTCAAGTGTCAATTATATGGCAATATTCTACCATATGTGGTGATGATATTTCAATATGTGTCTTTGTTCAAATTAAAAGTTTGAGATGAAATCAGCCTTATTTTATTTTGATGTGGTATTATTTTTTGTTCTCTATGATGCATTATAATAACATATTAGGAATAAATGCCAACTATTGATTTTCTTGAGAGTTTGGCACAAATCACGTCAAAAGATTATTGATGTCTGGCACGATCATGAGTTGTGCTTTTTTTGGCTTGTCGGGGTATTTTGCCTAATGGTTAGAACAGAATGGCTATGTGTTGTCGATAATCATAAATAATTTATTTGGCGCTATATTGTTTATCTAATTTGCAACTATATATTCAGGGGCTAAGACGGTTTATAGGAATAATGCACATAATGAGAAGGCTAGAAGTCGTGATTTTTTGGCGTATTACAAAAAAATCCTATAAAGAATCATATTTGAGCCATATTTTTAAATGCAATGATATAGTTATGGAATTTATATCCAGAATATATAAAGTAATATGAAATTGAGACTGAATAAAAAAAAATATAAAAAAAATTAAAGGAAATTAAGTAAAAATATGTTTGACATTTATCAAATATAGGTAGAAAATGTGGTGGTACATTTATTATCAAAAAATAGGGTTAAAATTTTTGAATAAAAAAAAATTCGATTAGAACAAATTATAAAGTGAAAATATAAATCTTACTTAAGAAGATTAATGATTGGTGATATAAAATGCTAAATTTTAATAGAAGCAAAATAAAAAATAAGCGATCTTATATTATTATTAAGAAAACAAACAATAATCTTTTTGGCATAATGGGATGGTCTGTATGCCAAGATTAAATGGATTGAGTTCGAATCAGGACAGTATTTTTTTTGATTTTCGCATTTGATACTCATAATATTAAAATGGGATAAAATTAATGATATATTTATAAGGTAGATTTCAAATATATAAATATCAAAGAAAATGACAAACTTTTTTCTTAATTTTTTTATTTTAACAATAAATTACTCAATTTCGATCAAACAAATGGTTTTATTTGTCTTAATATTCAAATATATATATGAATGCCGATAATGTGGTCGAGATGAACGGTTAGAGGCGGTTTAAAAATGTATGGCCTGCTAGCAAGATGTTACAGCTTGAAGCCGGTTGGGTTCCGAATCTTCGCCTCCTGAGATCTCACGAAGATCGCCCAATTCAGAAAAACGCCTCCCCTTGGTGCGCTTGAGCTGCCTGCATAGTTAGCAGATCATTTTGTTTTTTGCTTTAGGTTGTTAGCGAGCTTTAAATTGTTAGATCATTGATGCAATGCGTATGAAAATATTCATGCATTAGACAAGAACTTTCTTAATTTGAAAGTAGTATGCAGGAATAGATCGAATAATTTAATAAATTAGTGGGATCCACCTATAAAGTTCTAATGTTGGAAGTGATTCCCATTGGATTAATCGCAAAATGGGGTACTGGTGCGGAATTGGGTTCAGATAGCGGTATTTTGACCGACAAGAGTGTAATATGCACTCCTGTCGGTCACAATGTGTCATTCCGGGAGACATTGCCACTGCATGTCTCCCAGATTGGCACACTGTTCCGCATTCATAACTTGAATGCGGAACTTTGACCGACAAGAGTGTAATATGCACTCCTGTCGGTCACAATGTGTCATTCCGGGAGACATTGCCACTGCATGTCTCCCAGAATGAGACAATTTGTTGCAATCAGAATGTGATTGCAAAAGTTTGACCGACAAGAGTGTAATATGCACTCTTGTTTTAATAAATTTTAAATACTATATAAGTATCTTTACATACAATCTTTACATTATATTTTTTCCTAATTAATATTTATTTCATATTTTTTTGTGCTTTATCTAACTTATAGCATGTACTGAACTATTTTACAGACTCTACTGAGCTATCTCAACATATAAACCAGTGAAAAAAAACACATATATACTCACTTCATATTCTGATCTCATGCCATATTATCGCAAAAACTATATTTATACACCACACCTCATAAAACATCATTTTAGCCCTATCTAAGCGTTCAAAACTTATTTTTCCCCCGTAATCTGATTCTTCAGGATCCGCTGATTCGATTTCTGCCGTCAGATCGCGAAAATATGCATTACATAACAAGATATACACAAATTACTAAACTTAATATTTACCTTAAAATTGCTTATTCCTCTATATGACAATATTTATTATCTTCTCCGTTTTCCCTCACAAATACATTTAATTTTCTGAGTAATACGTATAATAAAATGAATATCTCAAAAAATCAAATTCAAAATTAATAATGGATAATGACTAGATATAATCTGAACTTTTGAATGCATACATTTTTTGAAAAAATTGGATTTTGAAAAATTATGTTGTTTGTGTATGAACTTCAAGAGAAATTTCTTGATATAATTTTTTCAATCTTTTTAATAGGCAAGATATGCTCTTTGATATATGTAACTATAAGAAAAATAATGAAATAATTCCTTCGTCACTATAAGATTAATTCAAAAGAAATTTCTAGTGACTAAGGAATATTATTCATAAAGAGTTATTACATAAAGGTACTTGCATGCATTACTTTCATATATTTTTTAATAATTTTTTGAAAAATTCAAAATGTTATCAGTTGGATGCATGGGGAAAACGTACTGATGGATATTGTTATTTGTGATTTGGAGCAGCAATAGAAATGACATTGTTTGGAGATTCATTTTAAAGTCATATTCTCATCATCACGTATGATAATTTGTCTCTTCAAGCGAGATTCTTACTCCAAAATCTATATGTTTTCTAATTTTTTTTAAAATATCTGACCTTGTGTAATTTCAAATTATTATAATTTCAAAATACATTTAAAACCCCATTATTTAGAAGTATTTAAATACTATATGATTTATAATCATAATTTCATTATTTATATTATTCCTCTCCCTTTAATTTATAAGAGAAAAACTAAATTTAATAAGAAAAATTCAAAAAAAATATAAAGTTTTAAAATGTCAGAATCAAAAATGTTAGAATGCATATCATTTTTCGAGTTTTGAAAAAAAATTTGCAATTTCACCTTACACCACACAGGTTGCTCAGTTCATTGACATAGATAATATCCGATTTCCATGGTTTTACTCCCAATCTTATTCGTAATATACCGAATTTCGAACTTAAAATCATCCAAATTCAAAAAAAGAGACTACCAACAACTACAGAAATATGATTAGATCACAAACATTTAGATTTATTAGTGACTACCTGTTGTATATTTTAATTTTTCAAGCCATAAACTTGAAATCATATTCTACGTGTCTCTTTCTCAAAAATTGAGGGAACTGAAAGGTTTACACGCAAAGAATATGAATTCAAGCTATAAATACGAAAAAATACTAAAATGAAAAACCGAATAATTTTACATAAATATATGAACTTATAATGAATTATTAGAAAGTTCTGTTGATGGGGAAGATGCCTTCAAAGCAAATTGATCTGGATTCCAACTTAAATGAGATCCAAATTTTGCCGAATTCTTCCTGTTAAGTCTTGGTCTAACATATAATCCCATGGGTTTCATGATAGGTTTACTTGGTGAGCTGCTGATTTTAGAACTAAAATACGGCATTTCAAGCAACTCATCAACAGTTGCTCTTTGAAATGGACTAGTTACTAAACATTTAGAAATAACTTGTCTCAAAAGAGGATCTTTGATAAGTTTATCATCATACATGTTATTCATAATCAAGGAAATTAAATGATTTGTATTTTGAGCATAAAAAGGAAGACATTTTGTGGCCATAAAATAGATTGTCACTCCTAATGCCCAAATATCAGACTGGAATGGGTTAAAGGTTTGGCTTACAAAGATTTCTGGAGCCATGAAATTTTTGTACCTTTGTGACATATAGTTCTATGTTGATTATAACAGGATATTCTAAAATCTGATATTTTGATTCTTCCATATTGATCAATTAGGAAGTTTGTAGGTTTAATATCGCAATGTGCAATTTTTCTGGTGTGACATGCACGAACGCAACAAATAACATTATAGATTGACTTACGTAATTCATAATCTGTTAGATTTGAATTCATAATATAGCTGTCTAAGGTAGATGGGCAATATTCTAAAAGCAAATAATTGCAATCTTCGAATGAATAAGTGTTATATAGACGGACAATACAACTGTCATCAACAGTTGACATCAATTCCTTTTCTGTATTGTTAAATAAGTCTTTTGGAATTTGTTTTAGAGCGAATGTAGTTTTATATTGCAAGGAATACACAAGGCTAACACTCCCAAAACCTCCATCACCCAATGGTTTTTGGATAATTATATCTTTACTTTTAAAAAAGTCTATCACTGATGGTTTCATTCTGAGAAAAATGAAAAATTATTCTATTCAATCCTACCGACATTGTTATATATAGAATCATATTTACTGCATTATTTTAGAAAAGAGTCAATGATAATACAACCGTCTATTTCAATGGACGCCTATCAAATTCTTTTTGATTGGATAATATTTCAATTAATTTGTATGTCAATTTAAAAAATAAAACTGCAAATATGAATGTAAAATCATTCAAGAGCTTTTTTTCCAAAATTGAAACAAACTCCTATCATTTGTTGGTCATTTAAAATAATTAGTATCCATATTTTAATGCAAGATTTATACTTTTATAAAATGTTGAACTTTTGAATTTGTCTTTCAATTTTTCATTTAAGAGAAATAACCTAATTTACGTTCTGAATATTATGTTTAAAAACCTCATTTCAATCTTGAAAAAATAATCTTAATTCAATTTTGTCTAGTTGGTTGAAAATTATAGTTGTATAGATCTACTATGTGATTTTCATCCTAAATTAATTCCAAATTTCAATTATCCACGGACCCATTATGATTTATCACTGTCACCTTTATTCGAAACTTTTTGAAATGTCTATGGTTGCAAAATCATTAAACATATTCATATTTCATTTTCTATGTTTGTTTTAAGATGAATAAACTCTTTTTTGAAGTGTATCTCCTTGTCCCAAATATTGATTATTATAATATTAGCTAATAATATGATTATTCGACTAATTTTATACATGACTAATTTTATACATGACTAATTTTATACATGACTAATTTTATACATGACTAATTTTATACATGACTAATTTTATACATGACTACTATTTTTACAGCAATGCTCTATTCCTTAATAGTATAACTGTTGGTAATAATTTGAATTTTTCACAAATTCACCTATATTTGATTTATCACTTGGATATTAAACGACATGCGTACAAATAACTTTAAAGATTAATGCGATATGAATCAAGCTTATGCTCTTTTTCTATAGAGTGTATACTTTATTTTAATTCAATTAAATTGTGATAATTCAAAAAAAAAATTATGAATTAGTTTTATTATTTATCGTATGTTCGAAAATTTTAACATAAATTATATTTTGAATGGTGAAAATAAAATAAAAAGTCCCATTCAATTTCATTTTTTTCTATGTCAACTATTGATTATTCATATTATGCAAAGCATATTAAGACTTATTGTAATGATGAGGAGTTTGTAGAGCTCAGAACAGTCGATGAAATGTGTCAGATAATGCAAAGAACAAAGTTACCAGTTTCACAATTCGTTGATTTATTTTTAATGATGAAAAAGCATTTCAATCCAATAGAACTATTTCAAATCTTACAAAGTACAAAATTAAATATAGGTTCAAATCTTAAAGATATCCAAAAAGTTATAATTTGTTTATCTTGCGTACTTGATGCTAAAATATTTTCCAAACTTAGTGATTCAATAGATTTATATTCAAAGAACTCGGCATCAGAACCAAAATTGATGAATGTATTGAAGAAATGCCCAATGACCGATAGTTTAGATAATTTAAATTCTATTTATAAGATTTTATCATTAGCCGCCGAAAAAGGACAAGAAAACGTAATAAAATATGCAATCAACACAGGCTATGCAGATGTTAATGGCGATATTATATTAAGAAACATTGAGAGCACATATGAATTGTTTCAATCAAATGTTTTGATCAAAGCAGCTTCAGAAGGCGATTTGAATCTTGTGAAAGCATTAGAAAGAAATGGTGCAGCAATGGGATACAGAACTGAGTATGGAGAATGTATTCTTCATGCATTTTGTTTATCAGGAAATTTGGAAGGAGTTAAATATGCCTTGAATTTCTTTGATGTTAATGATGTCAGTGTAGCAAGTAAAACTCCTTTCTTTTGTGCAGTTTGGGCAAGTCAATTACATGTTATTGACTTCCTTATTAAGAGACGGGATTTAGATAAAGGCATCAAGGCAGTATCTGGATCAGTTTTAGATTCAGTTATCTCTCAAATTAGAGGTTATATTAAATTGGCTGAAAAGATCGGAAAAAAAGGAATGAAAACGCCAGTTTATAGAAAATATGTCTTTAATTGGGATTCAGGAATAGATCCATTTAGCAGCCTTAGAAAAAAACATGTCTTTAATTGGGATTCAGGAATAGATCCATTTAGCAGCTTTAAAAAAAAATACTGATCAATTGATGAAGAATTCTTGATAAAATTCTGTCAATTGTGAGTGAACACAAAAGAATTGAGTATGTTTATGATAATTTTTTTTTGCTTCAAAAGAAATTTCTTATTTAATAAATTTGATTTTGATTTTATTTTCTTATTCTCTTTTTAAATGCATTCCATTTCTAATAACAAAGTATCACTAAGCATGATTTCATAGCAATTAATCTTATTTTCTTAAAAATTTCACGATATCCATTAAAAAAACTTAAAAAGAAAGATGTAACGATAGAAGATGGTTTAGTATAACAAAAATAATTAAAAAGTGTTTGAACTTTCAGTTCCATTTGTTAAATTATCATTGATATTCAAAAGATTTCGAGCTCTTACGTGATTTCGAGGATTTCCAAAGCCATTTATAGGCATTGAAGTAGGAAAGTATTTCTTCTGCATATTAAGCTGATTTGCCGCTTTTAATCTGTAGTAAGCAGTATGGAACGAACAAAGTCTTTTCTTTGAGAGATCTATGAACTTTGTACAAGCCAAGTGTGTACCTTGCCTCTCGCAGTATCCAAACGTTCGTACTTTCCCTATCTTTAAAATTTGTTTTTCACTTGAAATTTGAATGGATGCTGTGGGTGTGTGGATTATCTCTGGACAGTTAAGTAGTAATAGTGTTCCTGGAGAGTATTCTACCTTAAATTTTGAAATAACTTGGACATGAGTTGATTTTAAATCTGAAAGTATGAAATTTCCTTGTTTTGTTGGTTCACCATATACACCAACAGTAATTACATTCGTTTCTCCTTTCTCTTTCATAGCACTTGAGAGTTTAAGATAGAAAAAATTTTCGCATAATTTAGGCCAAATTTCTGGATCATATACTGAATCAAATTTGAAGCCAAAATACTCGCAGTTATTAGGTCCGCCTGTGTTTGATGGAGTAAGGAATGTTAACGGATCAAAAGCACTCATCAATATCAAAAAAACTTTTTTTATCATAAAAAAAATTCGAAAGAGGAAGTTCCTCCACCGATAAATGACATGTGATATAAAACACATTAGCAATATAATAAATTATGCTGTTCTATATTAATATGTTTGATCATTGTGCTTTTCATATTTGAATTGCTTTTAATTTTGAGAGGTAGGGCAACGATAGGTCAAAAAGGCTTCTCTGATAGATTTCCTTGCCTTTTGGATATGCTATAATATATAGCCTAGCATGATAGGATATGATGTCAAAAGTTAGAACATAACTTAGGATCTTGAAAAAAATGAAAAACAAAAATTACATAAAAAAAGAAAAATTTTATTTAATTTGTTTTTTTGGACCGAATAAGTAATTTTATTGAATTTCAATACGACACATAGATTTTATTATTAGTAATAAATATAATGGTTTACTATTAACAAGGAACCTAAACTAATGAAAATTTGATTTCAAATATTGTATATGATTATCATAGATTACCAAAATATATTGCTATTTATGAGGATATAATATTGATTATTAGTAAATCGTATAAATTTAATAAATATACCATGAATATTGAATGAATTTCTTGATTCATAGGGGTAAAACGCGCTTTTATATGATTTAGACAGAGAATTTATGAGATGTAAATAACACAATAAAGGTTTATATTGAATATTTTCTAAAAATAAATCGAAATTATAAAAAACAATACATTTATTCATTGAAACTACTTGGACAAATATGAAACAAGCATTCAGGCAATACTTTTGAGACTTCAACGCATCTGATAATTTTTATATAACTTCACCTCTTATGCTTAGAGTGGAGGTATTGAGATCGTATAAGTATAGATGAGCTCACATTCAGATATGATGTGTGAACTTCTGTTTTCACTGCAATTTTGAATCAGAATAAACTCAAAACAAGAATAAAATGATATACTCACTCTCTAAATGTGTTCGAGATTTAAAGTTGTATGAATAAAACGATTCATCTTTCGAAGCCTCCCATTTAATGAGAGACTTCGAAAGATGAATGTATTCATGTAGATGAAATACTATATATGACCATGTGTGATACTAAAGATATCAAAATGTTCATTTTTAAGTGCAATAGAAGGGTTATCTCTCGTAAAATCTCAATTTAAGGAAGATTTAGAAAGAACTCCTTTCCTAAGTAGATAGTGTGTGGTTTCTGTCTTTTGGTTGATCAGGAACTATGAAATTAAGTCGGACAGAAAGAAGTTCTTTCCAAAACAGACTCCAAATGAGTTGTTCGAAAAGAACTTCCTTCTGTATATGGATAATTGTAGTTACCGCACTGAAGTATGTGATTGTGATGATGGAGTTCTCGATAAATCTAAAATCGGATTAAGATTAATTGAAAACTCAAGTAATTCTTTGAAATCTTGTGTTGTCTGGCACTATAATAACCAAAGAATGAGAATATTATGTTGAATGATGAGTACGTGTGCTCGGCATTCGCCGAGCGAATTGAGTTTAACGTACTATGAAAAGTGACAAATTTGGGCTTTTTTTTCCTAGGGTTATGATCTCTTCCTTTCTGCTCAATACGACAGAAATGAAAGAATGAATTTGTACTCCCTAATTGATTACTACAATCTGTATCTATCTTTAACATAGAATTAGCTGCATTGTGATTTATACTCCAGAATTATTCAATTTAAGATCAACCTCGTAAATTTTAATCATATTGCACCAATACTCCTACGTTGAGATAAGAACATGATTATACATACCAAAGCCCCATATTAAAAATCAAAATTTAGCACCTCCATTATGCAACCACATTATTCGTCGCAAATAAGTATATTTACGCATATTATGATGCATATTCACACAACTCGTATACATGAAAAGTTATTAAAATCAGACAAAATTATTGCAATAAGGGAAAAAAAACAACTTTATTATATATGTTAGTAATGAATTACAAATATTTCTACAAAGAATGCTCAATACTTCATATAATCTTCGAATATTTCTTATTACAAGTTAATACATTTTGACTCGAACATGATAAACAAAAGCTGACACGCTGATTACTACATTTATGAAAATATAGTACGTTTCCATTCATCTGTTTACTTGTTTTTGTTGGAATAAAATCATTTTTTTTTCTTTCATGAAATAAGAATTTTGCTGCGAAAGCAATATCTCTAACAATAATTAATACATTACGTCAACTCTGGAATGAGTATTTATCAAATATGATATCAAAATCAAAAATTAGTTGTTTTTTATGAGTAAAAACGATGTAAATTGATTATTTGACTAATTATCAAATACTTTGATTTTCCAAATTTTTTTCGAAATTGATTTTTTCATGTGAAATTTTCTATCGTTGCCCTACCTCTTAATTTTGTGTAAAATTAAGGTTAATTTATTTTTATCACTTTATAGTATTCGTCAACTTACTCATATTATGTAAATACATTTTCCGAAAAATTTTAGAAGTTTTATTCATTATTCCAACCAAAATCTATGATTTGTGACATCTGTATGGAATTTTTCATATACAGGAAGTAACCAATCAGTTCAATTACCTTCTGGGTGTTATAAGCTTGAAGTTTGGGGAGCCCAGGGAGGTGGTCGAGATCTCGAACCAAACAATACTGAACTTGGTTACGGAGGAAAAGGTGGATATTCGGTAGGAATCTTATGTATCTTAGAAAAAACTACGCTGTATGCTTTCGTTGGCGGCCAAGGTGGAATTGCTACAACATATCATGGTCAAATAGCTCCTGGTGGCTTCAATGGTGGAGCTCTGTCATATTGTGATCCTAGAGCAACTTCTGATCCCGGATCCGGCGGCGGAGGCGCATCTGATTTTAGGATTAATTCTCCAAGTCTATACGCCAGAGTAATAGTAGCCGGTGGAGGGGGTGGAGGTGGAGAATATGGAGATCCAGGTGGTTTCGGTGGCGGAATTGTTTCTGGTGCAGGAAATAATTACGCAGCAGGCCAAACATCACCGGGACATGGCTCTCAATTCGGACATGGAGCATATTCATGCATTAGCGGAGGCGGAGCTGGTGGCGGATGGTATGGCGGTGGAAGCACAAATGGAACCACAACTCAATGCAAAACACCACAAAGCAGTGGTGATCTGGATGGTGGTTCTGGTGGTAGTGGATACGTTTATACAAGGAGTACTGCACATTACTATCCACAAGGATGCCTTCTTAACCTTGATTATTACTTATTTGAAGCAAAAACTATAGATGGAAACCAGACTTTTCTTGACCCATATGGAATTGAAAGAATTGGAAACGCAGGGAATGGTTATGCTCGGATTACGAAGCTAAATAGGACTCATTGGAAATTTCAATTTAACAATAAGATAAATCTATTAAGATTTTTCCTCTCTTTGAATCCTATTTGTATTAATTTTAACTCAAAGTAAACATAAAATGTTTAAATTTTTGATTTTTATTTTTTAAAGCTGAAGCTAATCCAATGGGATATGAATATCGTAGTTTTCTGCCTTTCTTGGATATTTATACACGTGAGGACAGTTCTTGAGAAATCTCAAATATTTTAACAGAATAATTTCTTATTTTGGTAGTGTTATCCAGAATTTAACTTATGTAGCCAATTTGCAAATGAATGTGAATACTCATATTTTTAGAAAACACTTCTTCTTGAAAAATCTCTCAACCAAATGTTTTTAATCAGAAGAGCTTATGCTTTTTCAAGATTCCTATTGTAAAAAGCTTTCCGAAATGCATGGCGAAATTTGATTTTATGACTAATGACATGTGATATAAAAAATTAAAAATGATCATATGTCTTTCCATGTTTGGTACTATATTTTTCAAAAATTTATATACCAGCATGGATAATGACATGAAAATATTTCGATGTATTCATAGTGATCAAATAATTCAACTTTCAAAATATAATGATTCAAAATGTGACTGTTGCGATGGATCTGATGAAATAGAAAACGTTAATGTCCATTGTAAAAACACTTGTCCGGTTAATTTATCATTCTTTACAGACGAAATTAAAAATTTATTTCAAAATTCAATTCAACAATCGATATACAACATTCATAGAGTTGATGAAGTATCCCAAATATATGAAGATGTTAAAAGGAAACTACGACTAGAGCAATTATACGTTCAAAATCTTTATCAATCCTCAATTATAAATACTTCAATACTTTCTTCAAGAATATTGAATGAAACAAGCGCGTGTTTAGGTATCCATAACATGACTGAGTATATGGACAAAAAATACACTCAATTTTTTAAAATTGCTGTCTTAACACTGAATTTAACGAAAATGTTATGTGGATGGGAAGAAGAAAAAGCTCAAATAGAAAATGATCTTTATAAAAAAGTACTTCTCAACGCATACAGAACGTTGAATTTCACTTATATGATATTTTTTTCGAATTTACTTGTCGAAAAAGAAAATTTAATACATCAATCTGCGAAATACGAAAGTGAATATTCGAGATTAGGCTATGATTTGATGAATTTTTCATCATTTATGAAACAATTTTTATCAGGAGAGCGCGAATGGCTTGATTACGCCACGAGGAACGTTACAATATCATATCCTTGCGTAGAAGGATCGATTACTCTGAATAATATCATTAATTTGACTTATTCTGAGTTTAATCAGACTACAAACTTTAATTTGACGTATTACGGAAAGAATTTAATATATGAATCAGAAGAGAACCAGAAGATAATACTAAAACCAATGTGTTACGATCGAATTCGAGGATTTTCCATACATCCCATCAATGAAAACGTTTCTTTAGCAGAATTCGGTTCACCAATCGCATGTCCGACCGAATACTCCGATGAAAATTTTATTGAATTCATTAGAAACCTTCAATTTTATGGATAATAGATTTTATATCATGAATTATTTGTGTAATTATAAATATTATGTTTGTTTTTGTTATTTTATAACTTTTTATTCTATTCATGATCTTTTTTCGGTCTGAATTTAGAAAATATTCGAAAAATAATTAGTTTTATTTCCTTGCAACAACACTAAGGCAAATACATGCGTAACCCTCTCAATTTCTTTTGAATTTGGCCATGATAAGTTGCTGCATTTTAAATCGACTCAATATGAAAAAGATAAAAACTACGAGTCAATCTTAGTTGGCAATTTTCTTAATAATGTGGCCTAATCAAAAGGATTTAGATCATTAAAATTGAAAAATGTATTAGCGATCATTTTTCAATTTCAGAAATGTTCGTAAATGACGCAAGTCCACTATATTTTGAAGTCTTATAGCGTGGTTAATCTTAATATATCATTAATTAAAGAATATAATATAAAATTTTATTCTCACATAATATATCCGTATTTAACAAACAAAACTATTAGATACTCTTGTTAATCTCCTTGAGCCATCAATGATGCATCTCCTTGCAGCTCTCTGAATTAACGAATGACCCGAAACTTTTTCACTTTGTATCTGAATAAGGTATTTTGAAGCATATTTACGAAGCTCTTCCATTGTTGGTCGGCTACTTGCATCAAATACCAAGCACATTTGAATTAATCTGTTCAATCTTTTTGTTACATTTTTTATTGGCTGGATTCCGCCTTTCATTTCTTCAAGAATAGAACTTGTATTGGATCCGAAAAATGGAGTTCTTCCAGCAAGTAAATAATAAATTGTAATTCCAAGGGACCAAATATCAGCTTTGAAGGGATCAAATGTCTTGTTATAGATTACTTCTGGTGCCATGTAATTAATGGAGCCACAGAAATGATCAGATGTTCGCAATTCACTGTCAAAAAATTCTGATAAGCCAAAATCACATAATTTTGCTCTATCATAGTTATCAATGAGTATATTACCTGGTTTGATATCGCAATGTGCAAAACCATTAGAATGCATATAAAATAATGCTTCAATTATATCCCTTGTGTATTTAATTACACTTTCAGTGGGTATCTTTTCTTTCTGTTTCAATATGCTCTGCAATGATCCATTTTGGCAGTATTCAAGTACAATGAACTGGTAGTTATCACTTATAAACTGGTCATAAACACGAACTATGTTTGGATGGTTTAAATTAATTAAAGCATTTATCTCCCTTTTGTGAGATAAGATCTTACTTTTGCCATCAATTGTTTGTGGAGAAACTTTGCAGACAAAATCTGTGTTATATTTCAATGAATGAACAAGGAAGCATGTACCAAAGCCCCCTTTGTTAATGAATTTGCATATTTCGTATCCTTTTTCGTTAAGAATTCTCTCGATTACCTCTGAGGATTCCATTACTGAATAAAATAATAATTCAATGTGGTTAATCAAAATGGTTCTTTGACTAAAAGAGATTCATTTAATATATCTTATATGGAAATAAAATTTAGATTGTATCTTACAATTGAAAAAATTAAAATGTAGACAAATAGCGGATGCAAAAATTCAATAGTACATTCTCAATTTTGATTTTAATTGAGAAGACAAATAAAATAAGCATTTATTGTTGAATCATGATCTTATTAAAAATCTTAATTTTCACACCATTTTTATTTGAAAAGTTTACAAAGAAAAATGAGGTTGAATTTTAGTATTGGTTTTCATTTGGTTGATAATTCTTGAAATATACATAAAAAACGGTTTGATTCAGCTAAATTTCATTTGATTTTAAAAAGAATGAAATGAGAATGACTAATTTGAATTGTGAAATTTTTCAAATATTTGAGAGGATAAAAATTTCTGAGTTTTACTGAGAAAAAAAAAGTTGTCAAAAAAAATTCGGGGCGACATTAAGTTGCCCCATTTGTATAATTGACCTAGGAATTAATAAAAAATAATCAATGGACCAATGGCAGTTAGGAAATCCATCAACAGGAACTAACAATGTTAATTTTAACGGAACTGTTGCTGAATTCACTTATCCATGTAGTTCTACCTATGATTGCACCTACTACTATACAAAACTCCCAGCAGGCATATACAAAGTCGAAGTTTGGGGTGCCCAAGGTGGCGGAAGCTTCTCTAATTCAGCCACTATTATCCCAGCGAAAGGAATGGGAGGATACTCTGTCGGGGTCATGAAACTGGACTCCGAATCCACAGTTTATGTTTACGTTGGTGGAAGAGGCCAAGATCCAAATTCTCCATCAACTTACACAGCAAGAGGTGGGTTTAACGGCGGAGGAGATTCGCCGCAAGATACAGTTGATGTTAGCTCTAATTATGATGATGCTGGTGGTGGAGGCGAAAGTGCCTCTGATATAAGAGTTGGAAATACTAATTTTGAAAGCAGAATCATTGTTGCAGGAGGTGCTGGAGGTAATGGAAGACTTGTGAATTCTTATTCGGATACTGGATTCAGTGGCGGCTTAGAAGCAGGTCGACCAAGAGATGGCAGTGGTAATTATGGAACTGCAGCGAGTCAAACCACTGGAAATGCACTTGGACAAGGACAAACAGGAATTAGATGTGTTAATGCATATTCAGGAGGAGGTGGCGGTGGTTATTTTGGTGGATTCACTAAAGGCTCCACTCGCTCCGATCCTGTTATTGCAGGGGGAGGTTCTGGATATATAGGGGGTGTTATATCGTACAGAGATATAATTGCTCAAACTATCGGCGGAAACGAAACCATCACTAAAATGGATGGAACCCAAAGAACAGGAAATAATGGAAATGGCGCTGCCAGAATCACTATCCTCGGATATTTCCTCAATCCACACACTAATCTCTCTGAATATTATTATCCAGAAACATCATTTTCGATGGAATTCAGTGTCAATTCCCTAGGAACAGGAGAAAAAGGCACATTAAACAGAACGTTTTCCTCCAATGAATCCGCAGAAATCCATTCATTTGATGACAAAGGAAGAGAACACAGATTTACAGATAATTTCCTCCTCCCCAAAAAATCCGGTTATTACACAATTAGTTACACAATCACCTCTAAATCCGGCACCAAATCAGAAACATCCTTCACTATATTAGTCAACAAAGAACCAAAACTGACCCTGAAATCAGAACCAAAAGATAAATATATTAGAGGAGAAAAGATAACTTTGTATTTTGACATTTTTGATGACACTTTTGCAACGATATATATAGGAGACAATTATTTTAATTATACAAACAAAACTGTTATATGTAATAACAAAATCAATTCTACATTTATTAATGTAGAAATTCCTTTTGGTTATACTCCTGGACATTCTAATAGATTGTCAATTTACGCGATAGATGAATATAACATCAGTTCTAATATTTATAGTTTTCCTTTTACCATTGTTACAAATAGATCTCCTGATATTAATGTTTCCAATAATTTGTCTTATATTTTACAAGAAAGAGATGATTTCTCTATAATTGGACATTATAGAGACTTAGATTTTAATGGAAATGTTGCGATTTACACGTCTATTGATAACACTAATGTATATCATCATCAAACATATCCCGTAGTGAATGACCAATGGAATGAATTTCATATAACAAGAACTATATTCCAACAAACTAATAATGGAATACATTATTTGAAAATATATGCTGTTGATGATAAAAATTGTGAATCAAATAAATTTGTTCATGCTTTTGCATATTCTTCGGAATTAAATTGTAAACATGTGTCAAACGTGCTTCCATGCATGAACATGCGATATGCTATGTTCCTTATTATAGTCATGACTACCAGAAGTACTTTTAAAATAAAATAATTTGTTCTTAGTTTAAACAATTTATTTTACGTTAATAAGTAAAGATGATATTCCATTCCCCTAGAAGCTTATTTTTTTAAAATATATTTATTGTATAAATATATTTAGAACAATCAATATATGAATCAGAACGAAATTAAGTGTAAATCATTGTCATGAAATATTTGATCAATTGATAGGAAATAAGCGCAATGCATGCAATAGTATCCGTATATGTCATTACGAACTTAACATGTTTGCTCTTCGGTAACATTAATTGTAAATCAATTATGCAATTTTATGCTGATATCTTGTGAAATAGAATTCAATTGCTTATATAGAGTTTTATTTTTTGATTTTCGTGAAACAATTTTCACCTTACATCTTTTCTATTGCTGCAAGAAAAAAAAAGTTCAGTAAAAAATGAAGTCGAAACGTTTTCAGCAATTACGTTCTCCTAGAAACAATTCAGAGATAGATTCAAAGTCTCCTGTACCTAGTGTTATTTCTGGATCATCAAAAGCTTCAAAAACTAGATCTTCTTCCAGAAATAAACAGGTTGATACACCAAAAACAATTGCTGAAGCTCCAAACATGTCACAATCACCAATAACCCCACAGAACAGAGCTCAAAAGCACAATACTTCTCATTCTAGCCAAAAATCAACACCATCTTTAACGGATAAGTCAACGCAATCACCTCCAAAGATCTATTTCCATACATCCGTTGAGTGCTTAACTTCAAAATCAAGGATTTACTCTCCATCAAAACTGAAATCAAAAGAAAATCAATCTTTGTACAGTCCGTCGCCAAAGAGTCCAAAACAGAATAGAAAATCAGCTGCTCTATTACAGAGTGAAGATAGCGAGCTTGTTTCGCTTGAAGAAATTACAAAACCGAAAATTAAAAACAGTTCAAGGTCTTCTGTTGTTCGTAGCAGGAAAAATACAGAAGCATCATCCTACATAACAGATAACAACTCCCAATTCAATACGCAAAGCATAATTAATGAACCTTCAAATATTACCAATTATTCTGCTTATACAACAGAATCCGAGGCACCAATGATCACTCTAAAGAAGACATATGCTGTAGTAAGAAAGAGCGATATAGGATCCAAGGATTTACTCGAAATTCCAGATGGTTTCTTTATTACTGAAAATGACTTAAAGAGAGAGAAGCGTTCTGCTGGAAATAATTTCAGCGAGACCGAATCTCACTATTCTTTGTCTAGCCAGCTTCAATCCAAAAATTATTCTTCACAAATCATGGAATTATCCTCAATTGCACAAGTTGACTCTCAAAACAGTCTCCTTGTTAATCCCGGTGCATCATTACATGAAAGAACTCAATCAGAAGCTGGCTCAAGGCAATCATCCATAAAATTGTTGAATTCTTCAGCTGTTGCAACATATTCTACAGATGTGTTGAAGGATAATGAGTCCTATTCGCATTACACAAGCCAACAAGCATCAGAAGGCTACGATTTCATTACTGGAGAAAGTGATTTGGCACCCGGCCAAATTTCATCGATTTTACCTCACTTTAGCCCGACTCATAAAGATGACGATGAGAAAGGAGAACTTTCACCGGAAGATCTCGGAATTTGGCTTGTATATCCAGGAAAATCAAGGATTATTGTTGAATAATTATGAATTATGTTTAGATAGATGACATGTAAACATTTTACAATATTCATTGTGTAGTTAAAAACTTAATTTTTAAAATTTCTCAGATTTTATTCAAAAATATAATATATTAAGGATAAATCCATCTGGTATATTCTTATTATAACCATTTTTCAAATTGCTTCTTATTAGATGAGCTAATTTTATATGAGTACAAAACAAATTGTAATAATTGGAGTTTTATTCACGCAAAATTTTTCTAAATTGAATACTATATGCATCAGATTCGTATGGTAGTAATATTTTCTTAATATAAGCCCTCTAGGCCTATTCTATGGGTCACCTCTAGTAGAATGCCTTCTTTCTTTATTCCTTCCTAATAAAATTATCATCATTCTGCAAATTGAGATTCTATTGCAATCAATATTTCGCTCGAAAATTTAGCAAAATAATTTCTGTACAATTTCAAAAATAACCTTATTGCAATAATTAACTTTTTACAACATGAAATATGTGTTAAAAAGATAACTTTTACTGAATATTTCTTTCGTGATCGTTCTGATTTGTAAACTATTGGATTTTTAATGTTTTTTGACAATTAGCGTAATTAAATCAAAATAATGCTAACTCTCTTATTTTTTCAATTAATGAAAATGAGCCAAGCAATTAGGTCATCTAAAACGCTTTTGAATGAATACAAGGGATACATTGATGCAATTTATAAATTGGATTCAGATGAAATAAATTCAACAGCCGGATTATACGAAGAAATCAAGAGCAACTTGATTGACACAGGTTATTTTACACCAAAAGAGATGATTGATTTGATAGGACAAGTTTGCAATGAGAGTTTACATTATCGTCATGGATACATAGAGTTAATGAAGAGAATCTTAGAAGAATATTTTGCTGACAATATTAATATCTCACTTTTTTCAAAATATGATGATATCAAAATAAATACGCCTGAATATGCAATAATGAATGATAATGAAGAAGAATTATTGTATCACTTGAAAAGTAAGAGGTTTGATCTCACAAAAATCCTTGAAAAATGTTGTTTAAGAGGAGCAATTAATTGTTTCAAGTTAATAAGAAAAGAATTTAATGTAAAAATCACTAAAAAATGTCTAGATGCTTCATTTAGAGGGAATAATCAGCACATCATTAAAGAATGTTTGAAAGAAAAAAAGCCTGATGATGATACAATGGAAGCTGCAATTGCATCTCATAATTTCGATAATGTTGAAAAATTAAATACTGAATACGAATTACAAATTTCTTCCTATCCATGTACTACTTATCTTAATCTTTATGCATATATATTATTTTTAGATTATGCTACTTTATACGACCTATCTTTTGGCCTTTTTAAATCTTAATGTTTTCATATTCCATCTCTTTGCGAATATTTGATTAAGAGTGGTGCAGATATTAATTTTAAATTATTTGGCATCACAGCGCTTCATTTTGCAGCTATATTAAATCAAACAGAAATTGCATCAACTTTGCTTTCAAATGGATTTGATTGTTCTGCCTTAAATGGATCTGAACTTAATATTACCATTTCCAAAGACAATTCTGCAATGTTGGAGTTACTTGCTTCACATGGGTCAAATGTCAACTACAGAGATAATGGGAGTCAATTAACAATTCTTCATCACGCATGCGCTAAAAATAATATCAAAGCTGTAAAATGTCTAATTTCACACGGTGCAGACCTCAACATGCTGAATTCTGGAGGATATTCTGTCATTCATTTTGCAATTTTCTCTACTGTTAGAGGAATATCAGTTAAATCATTTGGACCAGATTTTGTTAATGAAAGTGAAGTCATTGATTTGATTGAACTTCTACTTTCAAATGGGGCAAATGTCAATTTAAAGAATGAAGATGGATATACACCTCTTCATATGGCATCATTTATGTCGACTAGAGGAATTGTTGAAACATTAATTTCTCATGGTGCTGAAATCAATTCTTTAACTAAAGATGGTTATACTCCTCTTGATTTAGCTGATGGACGTGAAAAAATACATTATGAAAAATACCTTAGACTCCGCAACGCTAAAATGGATTACCAATATTATCTTGATTCCTCCCAAGAAGCAAGCAAAATTGTGGCTCTCTTAAAATTGCATGGTGGAAAATCTAATTCTGGGGATATTAGTATGACAAAATATTTAAATATTTCTCATTATTTAAACATATAATTATATGATATAATACTAGTTCTCAATTTATATATGTTTGCACCATATGAAATGAGTTATTCGAATATGAAGTACATATGAACCATTTTCATCTTTTGCATTCATATTTGCTCCATGTCCAACAAGTTGTTTAACATACTTGATTTTTGTTTATTTCTATAAAATGAAGAAGACTTAGACAATTTTCAGTCTTTGATGGTGGCGTATTCTACGAGAGCATGCAAGGGTGAATAATAGTCCAAACATGAGAATAAACTTCGGAGGTTCGTATATGAAAATTGAGAACAATTCAAAATTGTTTGGTCAAAATGTCATGATCTGACTTTTTTGGAGTTCAAAATAAGAAAATATTAAAATATATAAAAGGAACTTTTTGATTAAATAAACAATGTTCATACATTTTTTGAATATTGAAATTATTCAATATGATGGGAAAAATGTATCATTCCTAACAAGAATTATTAAAACTCTTTTTTTATAGGTGGCCTCGCGAAAAATCTGAAGGTAATTTTGTGAGCCCACCTTTGAAAATATTCAGAATTCTGCTTTCTCTCTCTCAATAATTCTGATCAATTTTCGCTCGTTCAGATCATTTTCATGTAAGATCAATTTTCTCGTTTCAAATTGTAAACATGAGATATGACAAGTATGCATATCAACAATAACTCTCCTGATAAAAATATCTAATTTCTCAAAAATTTTGAAATTATTAAAATTTTTTGGGTATTATCATTGTCGTCTGGCGGTTTTAGACGACAATGCGAATTTTCGAATTATAGATTTTTTAGCCAGATAAAGAGTCATTCCATATATATCATACGTGTTTGCACTCTATATAGATAGATAGCATTGATGTTCTCCTTTATTTAGGTACCAAAACGGGCATGTAAAATCTCTTATTTTAGACAACAATGATAATCGTGTCACTTTTCCAGAAGACAATCAAACATTCTCAAATTATTGAGATAATAAAAAGTAATGATTTTAATATATCTAAATAATTTTATTTTCCATTCTATGTTGAAAAGAAAAAGAAGAAAATAACTTAATACCAGTATTTCATATTAACATCAGCTCCATAGCGTATTAGTAATTTAAAAATATCCATATCGCCGAGTGCAAGAGCATAGAACATTGCAGTCAATCCATAGCTATCACGTTCATTTATATCTATATCACCTGATTTTAGCAAAAGTTCTACAGTTTTATAATCATGTTTAACAACAGCAACATGAAGTGGATTTTTTCCATTCATATCCTTTGCGGCTCTATGATATCTATCCTCTTCTTCTTCCTTCTTAAAACCTAATGATATGAGATACTTTCCTAAATCCTTATGGCCCAAGCCCATTGCAAGATCATATGCTGTTCTTCCATTTTGATCTTTAACATTAAGATCCGCTCCATGGGAAACAAGCAATTTGTATATATCTTTGTTATTTGCTTGTGCTGCATAATGAACAACATATTGTCCATTTTTATCAACTGCGTTTACATTTGCTCCATTCAAAACAAGGAGCTCTGCAAATTTGAATCTGCCCAAGGCAACTGTCATTTGCAGAATATAGCTATCTTCTGCAAATGGTCCATTTACATTAGATCCATTAGATACAAGGAGTTCGGCAAGTTCATACTTGTTATATACTATTGCATGCATAATTGGAGATAACCCATTTTCATCTCTTGCATCGATATCTTTGACAAATGGACAAAAATATTTCACAAGGTCAAGAAAATTAAATCTGTATGTGAATTGAAAATATTTGTCAAAATCTCCTGTCTGTTCCAACTGTACAATGAATGCTTCAATGTTATGAGCCGATATACAATCATTTGGATCGATTTGCATTTTGTATTTATTAATAAGAAACATCACCAAATCAATGTTATATGAAAAAATTGCATATTTCATCAAATCTTTGCCTGGTTTTTGATCCAACAAGCATTCATTAATCATCTTGATATTGTTATTGAGAAATGCATAATTAAGACATTTTTCTGTAATTTTGCAGTTGAATTTAGATCTCAACAACATGAAACATTGCATAGAACCATAATAACAACAAATTTCTATATAATTTAAGTCTACTGCTATGATTGGCGTATTTTTAAATATCTCGTTAAGATCAAAGCCTTCTTTGCTAATTAAATTCTCAAATAATTTAACGTCATCATTCTTGATTGCCTTAATTACTTGATTATCTGAGAAAGCTTCCATTTTTGAATTTAATTTTTGTAAAATTTGGTATGCTCTTGGTTTAGAACATTCTCTTTTTATTCCATATTCTTTTTCAAGAAAGAAACAAAATATTGGAGGTAATTTATCTTCAGCTGATTGATATTCATCGTAAATTTTCTTGAATATAGTAAAATAAGATCGGATATATTTGTTCTTATATAAAAATAGAATATCGAATAGATCAATCACATCAAAAGGCCGAAGCATTTTTGTTTTAATCAAGTTGTTTTCTATCAATTCATAAACTCTGTTAATTTCTTTTTCGTCTTCATACTTAGACTGAAATATTGCCTTAAATGTATCATGATGTCCTTTAAATATCTTCATTAAGGCATTATAATGCGTAAATGAGATGGATTTAAGGCTCATCAACTAAAATTTTTGAAAAGTCGTAATTTTAAAAAGCAATATAATGATGCTAATCAGAAAGGAATAGTATCAAATATCATCAATAATTGTCTCATTTTATTCTAAGTTGATGAGTCGCATGTGATTTTCAACTTAACCCAATCTTTTCTGTATAATTTTAATCAGGATAAAATTACCTTTCTGATTTTACTATTTTGACATCCTAATTTTGATTGTTTTGGGTTAATTTTTTTATTGTTTGGCAATCATAGTATTAAACAATACGAATTAAGTTGTCTTGTAGACTAATCATTTTGTCTCCTCAAGATTCAAATTCAAATTGTTGTCTATTTACTTAATTAAAACTAAACCGAAATATTCCCTGATGGAAATTTGATTGATACCAAGAAAGGGAGATTTTATTGTGATCCTATCATAATGTGAAACAATTCGCTGTGACCAAAAGTTTATTCGGCATGAATTTATTAAAAATTGAAAAAATTTATACTCATGGGAAGATATACAAAAAAAAAAAAAAAAAAAAAAAAAAAGGTATTGGGGCTTCCAGGCACTTCGTGCCCTCTAGCCCCGAAGATGTTTAGTACAAAAGCCGCTTTTTAACTTCACTTAAAATGCCACGTAAGCTACGTAAGAATATACGTAAGAGGAAGAGAGCATTGAAACATCCAATAGTAAGACTAACACCACAACAACAGTTGCAACAACAAATGCTGAATGACCCCACTATGTTGCAACAAATGTCAAGCAATCCTATGCTTTTAAACCGAGTTGTTGGTGCACAGAGTGGAGGTTTAAGAGCGGCACTTTTAGCGAAAATGGCAGGCTATGGTGGAGCTGCAGACGGAACAGCCTATAACCCTCAAAGTCAAATGAATTTGAGTTCACTCAAAAATCAAATATCAGATGTCAAAAAGTCAAACATAGACATACAGAAGCAAATAAGTGAAAACGAAAAGAAACTAGAATATGACAGACACACAAAGAAACTCAATGAGTTAAACGTAGAGAAAAAGAAGAAAGAAGAACAACTGAAAGAACTAAGTACAGAGGAATATGCGAAAAAAGTGTCAGAAAAAGCAGCAGAAGTAGCAAAAATGGAACAAGATGTTATAAATTTGAAAAACCATACTACTCGATATAAAGTACTGAAAGATGAAGAGATAAAACAAAAAGCCCTGAAGACATATATGGATAGCGATGAGTATAAAAAAGAAGTTGAAGCAAATGTAAAGGCAGAAAAACTTTTACAGTTGCAAAACCAAACCGTACAGTATGAAAACTTAGCACAAGAAAGTAAAAATAACGACGCGGCTATGCAAAAGGCAATGAAAAGCGCAGAATATATAAAAGCTAACAATGACTGGTTAGATGCCCAAGCCAACGCTAAAGCAGCCCAACTCATAGGGTCAATAAGGACAAAAATACAAGCGGATGAAGACAGTTCAAATGAAGCTTTAACAAATGCTGACTTTAAGAACGCTTTCGAAGCTCTTCATAGTAAGGTGAAACAAGTGAACGACTTCTCATCTGGAAAGAAACTGAAGTCTGAAGGTTTCGACAAAGAGTTAAAAGAAGTAGCACAAAATATGACGAAAATAACAGATGCAGCAACGAGACAGGCAGTTCAAAGTGCCTATGACGCCGTTAGAGCAACTGTTGTGAAAAGTCAAGAAAAAGAGTTACAACAGACCAAAACAGACCTAGTAAATGCTTTCTTAAGAACGAAAAGTCAGGTAGGACATTACGCTGCAGATGGAACATATGTGCCAGCTGGTGGAATTTATATACCACCAAACCCTCCAAGAGAAGCACCTGCACCAGGACTACCTAAAACATTTACATCGTCACATGGACATAGACACAGGCATGCACCAAAACCAACACAACAACCAACAGTTCAAAACCCTGCACAACAACCAACAGTTCAAAACCCTGCACAACAACCACCTCCACAACCAGAGCAAGGACATAAAAGAAGTAGAGAACAAGGAAACCAAGAATTCTTAAAAATGCTTAAAGAAGAGTGTGGTTTCCCAGATACTGTTGACTTTAGTGACAGATATAAAGAAGCTATTGGAAAGTTCAAGGATGGAAATACTGACCCGAACCTATTTAGCTTTATGGCTCAGCACCAAAACGGATATAATCTCAAACCTGGAAAATACAAGCTCGCTAAGGGATATGATTTAATAGCATATCATCCAAATGACATGGATGAATTTACTCCGAGATATTTGATGTCAGAGCTAAATGACAATTCAACTTTCGTCATGAAACGCGTAAAAAATAGAGACGGAACGAAAGAACAAAAGCTTATGAATGCGGATGACGTAGATAGGGAAATTGTTGAAAACGGTCTCGGAATATATGAAATGCCAGCAGATGAGGTACAAGAAACTCCACAGGAAGAAGTTCAGATACAACCAGACATGGAAGAAATAGTTCAGCAACAACAGCTAGAAGAGCCTGAAGGAAACGAACAAGTCCTTCCTTTGGAAACTAACTTCACAGAACTAGATGAAGATTTGGAACAGCCGAAAAATCTTGACCCTCAACAAGAGTATGCGGAGAATATGGAATATTTCCAAGAGTCTAAAAAAAATTCGGCTGACATAGTAGAAGAATATCGAAAAATGTTTGCCGACATACAAAAGACTCCAACACCAGATGAAAATATTCAGCATAGAATGGAAGTACTGAAAGAAAATGTACACAAATACAACAACCCTTTTTACTTACGAGCATTTAACGTTCAATCTTCGGATGAACTCGGTGAAAATAAAAGGTTAAATTTCAAGAAAACATATAGAAATGAAACATTGTTTAAAGTTCATTCAGAACCTAACCAAGATGGAAACAAACCTACTTTTGTTTCTGCAGACGATGGAACTACAATGAGATGGGGTCATAAAGCTAATCCGGATAGGTGGTTCATAAACTTACAACCACAATTCCAAGAAGTTGTAGACGCAATGGAATTGAATGGTGAACGAGATATAGCTGGTATTTTAAGCGCGGCTTTAATGCCATTGAAAGATATGAAACATGCAGATATTTTGGACCAGTATGAAATGAACATGGCTGATGGAAATATAACACCTGACGTTCTAGAACATTTATCTCAAAGAACTACACAGAACCATAGAGATGGTATATTTGGTGAAGAGTTTAGAAAGAAAGTTAGGGAGAGCGAAGGAAGAGAACCTATTGTACATGACCTTGCAAATGAAAGTTTGCAAAATGTCATAAAAACTTACTTTGCATACGATGAACCGAGAAGGGATGAATATTTAAGAAAACTCAAATGGACAGTACCAAATGAAATGTTAGTATTGAAAAACATGTTCCTTGACAAAATAAAACCAACTACAGAAATAAACGACGCAAGACTGAAAGATTGGGTAAAAGCTTTCCCATTCACAAAAGATATTGTTGGTAACATGGAAAGAAAACCAGAATGGCTACAAAAACATATATTTGGAAACGAGCATATTCCATATGGACAGGCACTGTTTGAAGAGCTTGAACCGGAAACTCAGGAAAGAGTCATGCAAACAATACGCGACGACTCAAATACAAACTATGACAAACTCTTTCTAGGATATAGGTTACCTGAGATGGGCGACCAGAGCCCAAAGGCAAAAAGGGCATGGAAAATTTGCAACATACTAGATGAACATGAGGCAAAGATGCAACAACTTGAAGCAGAGGGCAAGTTACCAAAGCGACACCAAAGAAGAAGAGTAGAACAAAGTGAAAGTAGTGAAGAAGTAACTTCATCTAGTGAAAGTAGTGGCAATGAAGGAAAAAGAAGAGTTAAAAAACTCAGTCAGGAAGAAAGTAAAGCTTGGTCCACGTGGGTTCTATTATGACATATAAACCCAACTATTCTATATTTTTACCCATATGAAATGTACGCCGCTCAGAATATAACGCCAACAGTTTTGGATGCCATGAATGGAAATGTTTCCGAATGGTATAACGAATGCGACAATGCCATTAGAAGGTCAGAAATAGTTCCTGGAACTTACGAATATACAACTGCTGTTTCTTATGGAAACGTAGGTGAGTTTGGAGAAGGTTCTTCAACAACAGTAGATATTGCTTGCGACAGGTTTCATATTATTTCTATTGACAACTCTTTCTTATACGTGGAACAAGACATTGAAATAAAACCTTCTGCCAAGTTGTCTGACAAGAAAGGTTGCAATGGAATTTTCTATGTCGGATACCAATATGCTCCAGAAGTTTTCATGGGATATAAGATATATTCTAACTCTGACTTAGTTCAAACAGTAACATGGGCAAACTATGAATGGTTCGCTTTGAGAAACTCAGTACAACCACAAGCTAGAGAACAAACAGACCAGTATGCAACTATTGAGAAAATAAGAAGACTTGACCCTAACGTTCCAGGAGTTTATGTTGACCTTTCTGGACAAACTGCAGCAGCAGTAACCAAAGTAAAATTGAAACTTAGAGTTCCTTTGTCATCTTTCCTCATCTTCAGGTTTTTAAGATACTTGCCAAACTGGGCAGGAAAAATTTCTATCGAACTTACTCCAAGCAAAAATAACTTAGTCATTGCACCAACACAAGACCCATTCACTCTTACAGACGTAAAGGGAGCAAATCAAACGTCATTCGCCGACTTTTGCAAAGACAAAGTTGACTTAGACTTTGGTTTCTCAAACCTCAACACTGAAGTAAACTATTATTTCAATGCTGCTGGAACTGCTTGGGACCCAGTTAAGTTCACATGCGAAAAGTTTGAATGCAAGAGAATAGAAAGCAGACTTGCAGTCTATATGTTGGACCCAGATATTTCAAATGCTTTAGCTGCCAAATATATTGCAGTTCCACTTATGTTCCCTATACACCAAATATCTGTCAAAGACTTTGCAGGTGAAGTTGGAAACCAAAGTGCTGACCCAGGTGCAAGAACAGATATTGCCTTAACAACTGCAATGAAACATGCAGATACTATGTTTGTACTGTTCAGACGAACTATAAATGACTATTCTTGTTTCTACAACCCTGGTATTAAATATCATATAAACATAGATGGCAAATATTATCCAAGAGAAGAATATTCTACAGTTGAGGATATGAGGTCATACAACTTGACATTAGATGCTATGAACTTTAACAACAACTTCACAACAACCATTAACCCTGAAATGCAAAGTTCTATTATGCCATATGTGAAAGTATGGACTCATGCAGGAGGTCAAAAAACTCAATATACAAATGGAGACCGTTCAAACTTTTGGCTTGGCATTCCATTTGCTGACTCAGAAGACTTTATGGTGGTATTTCAACTGTTGGTACAGTTCAAATACAATATACTGGTGACAGAGACGGTCCAGATGAATTGAAAGCAAAGAAGTTTACAAAACCAATAGCACTTTTCACGGAAGATGCTCTTTTGAAAATTCGTTCGATGAAACCTGCTGGGGCTCCTCAGATTGGTATAACGACAGCTTCCATCGAGCAGATTTTGGCAGCAGGTCAGTAAGTTGTTCTTTGAACTGACTTCTCTCCGTCAAATATTGACAGTACGCCAGTTTTGATATAATATTGTATTATAAACTTACCTTTAGAAATATCGGTCAGTTTTGTTGTTATATTTTTGTCTGCTTCAAGAACTTTCACCATCTCGGTTATACCAACTTTCTTTGCTTTATGAAAATATTTTGGTTCAGCAAAGACTGCTATTCTATAACATTTTCCATTGTTTGTGTAAAGAACTACTCTGTCAATGAACTTGTATTGTTTGTGTGTGTAAACTTTGTTTTGCTTCAATTCGAAGAGATACTCAAATACGTCCATCTTTTTATTCTAAGTAAAATGTCATTTCCGAAAAATAGAAGCGTAAGTGTTTCAAAAGGTTTAATGGCGGTGGCAGACGTGAAGTTAAATTCACCAACTCAAACAAACAGTCAAAGTGTTGTTGTCAATGTCAAAGAAAGAGATGTTGAAGTGGGGAAACCATACGAAGACGAAGATGGTATAACAATAGTTCCTGTAAAAGAACAACCAACATATCCTGAAGTTAGCAGAGACTTAAGTTCTGTTGCAGATATTCGAAACGACTACCAACAACTTAAAGACAAACTTAAAACTCAGGAGAAGATTTGTCAGGCTTTGGGTATAATGTTAAACTTGGTCGAACACAACCCCGTAAAAGTGAACTCATATGTCATTGCACCTCATGAAATTTTGAAAGAACTATTGAAACTTTTGACAGAGGCAGACGATATAAACATCAAAGAAATAGAACCCGACATTGCTTGCTGTGGTGTTTCATATAATGTCATTGACAAGATATACGTTATGAAAGGAGGTGAAACGTTGAACTTAAAATATAGTTTCCCAGACGTCATAAAAATATTTGACGACCACAACATTTCATTAAAGTTTGTTTGCTAAGTAAAAATGTCAAAACTTCTTGAAAGATGTTTGAAGAAAAATAATATAGACTTTATTTCATGTAAAGGACTTTACACACTTTTGAACGATATGAAAGACCCTGTTTTGTTTGTTCGTGTAGACAAAGGAAAGTTCTATGTCTTTACAAAATATTTGAACTTCTTAGACAGAGAACTTCAAGAAACGCCATGTGAAAGTTTAGATGAAGTTCTTCTCCACTTTCAGAAAAACTTTTAAATATATGTAAATGGCAGAAGACATAGTGGTTTATACTATTACGACTAAAAACCCTGAGTCATATAATTCTATAACAACAAACTTACAAAGTCCTCAAGGACGATATTGTAAACTGACCTTAAACACGATGACGACTAAAGCCTGTTTTGCTCTTTTGACACCAGAAGATTTTATTGTTGTGAATGGTAAAAAATACTTCTTTGAAGATACTTACTCAGATATACCACCAACAGGTTTTGTTGACTTATTTAATACTTTAAGGACGGATGTAACATGTGCTGCAACTAGAGCAGGTTTCATTATGTTTGGATGTCCGACTGAGTTTAGTATAAACGATATGAGCTATAATACAAAACTTATATCTGGTTTTTACTACCAACAGTTTCCTATAACAGGAAAAGGTGTCATACAAGGTCTATCTGTTCCATTGACTTTAAGTACACCTATTTTATATATTGTTTCAAACTTAGGTTCAAAGTGCTATTCGAATGTCGACAGAAACTACTATGACCAAAAGATACTCATGCGTATAAACAACACTTTCTCTGCTGGTTTGCCTATTGTTCATTCGAATGCAGAGTTTTCAGCTTTAGTAAACTCAAACACTTTAGCAAACATAAACTTAACCTTAGTTGACGCAAACTTTGTTCCTGTAAAACTTTTATGTCCTATGTATTTGTCAATGACGGCAGAAAGTTTCGAATTGGAAGATGCAACTGGTGAAAGTATTGTACTACAAGAACAACTTCAACAACAAATAGCTCAAGAACAACAAATGCAACAAATGGAACAAATGCAACAACAAAGTCAAGAACAACAAATAGCTCAAGAATAAAAAAAATATTTTTTTTTATTTTATATAAAAAAATGTACAGAATAGACGTTTCAGATTTTTATGACTTCCAAGCCTTCAGAAATATGTGTCCATTTAGAGACTATAACAAAGCAGTCGAGAATTTGAAACGTTTAGTCATTTATGTCGACTCTGCCCCAGAATGTTATGTCATGAAAGAATGGGATGTAGTCTTTAACAAACCTAAAGCGACAATAGTTTCAGAACAAGAATGTAAACAGAAACTTAAGAAAATAAAAGTCGTACAAGTTGGTATGAAGATGTTAGATGCTTGGGATATCTTATTGTCAAAGTTAGAAGATTTTTCAGTTCGTGGTATAAAGTTCTATACACCATCTCCAAACTTCTATTCTATCTTCACTGGATATAAATACGAACAAGTAGAATGGAAAGAAAATGTTATAGAAGCTTGGTTAGACCATGTCAAAGAAATTATATGCAATGGAAACGAAAGAGTCTATGAGTATATCTTATGTTGGTTTGCAAACATCTTACAACATCCAAGTGCTAAAAATGAAACTGCTCTCATCATAATTGGAAAACAAGGAACAGGTAAGAACACTTTCTTTACAGATATCTTATGCAAACTGTTAGAGGGCTATTCGAACCCGAATATGACAAACTTAGAAAACATCTGCGGTAAATTTAACTCTTCAATAGAGAATATGAAACTTATAGTATGTAACGAACTTCAAAGTATAGATACAACAAAGGTTTTAAACTCAGATGCTTTGAAGAGTCTTATAACAGACAAAGTTGGAGTTGTTGAAAGAAAATATAAAGACCAAAGAGTTTGTGAAAATGTTGCAAATTTCATCATGGTTTCAAACAATGCCGTTCCGATGAAGTTAGAAAGTTCTGACAGAAGATATGTAGTTGTCAGAACGTCAGAAGCTCATATGCAAGATACAGAATATTTTGACGACTTAGCAGAAACTTTGACATCTGACTTTTACAACCACTTGTTCTCATATTTCATGACATTAGATATTTCAAAGTTCAATCCAAGACAAATTCCACATACCGAAGAGAGACAAACATTGTTAGAAGCAAACAAGAGTGTATATGAACTGTTTATAGATGAAACTGACTTTGAGTGTTTAGATGAAAGGTCATTGTACGATTCGTATAAACAGTATTGTCAAGAGTATGGTTATATGACAGCGTCTAAACGAACATTCTTGGCAAATGTCAAAATCTTTTAGACGTTCAGAATGGTGTATATACAAAGAAAAATTTTTCTGAGTAAATTTTAAAAAAAAATATTTTTTTATCCGATAGAAAAGATGACGAAATTCATCTCAGTCAACAAGTATGTCAGGACTTAAAGAAGAACTAGACCCATTCACATATTTGAATGTTTACTTCTACCATTTTGAAAAGTCTACATTTGACAAAGTTTGGAACATCGAACCAGTTAAGTTTGCTATTGTGACTAAAAATGGTGCGAAATTTGAAGACTTAGACATAGAAGGTTTGTTAACAGTCAAAGAAAGTTTTGACAGAAGGTTCTCAAACCTTAAAGAAGGCAAAGCATACAAACTTGTTATACCTTATGAACCAAAGAAAGCAGACGACTATGAATATTATGAGTCTAAGATAGTTGAAGTTCAAGGTAAATTGGGTAAAAAGATTTTAGAGTCTAAGCCAGTGTTTGCTCCTAAAGAGGAAGAGAACATTGACATTGACCCAGAAATGTTCTAAAAATAAAATTTTATTTTTACATGTCAAATTCTTTTTCTCTGGCTGGTTCTTTCTTCTCTTCTTCTACTTTCTTTTCTTTCTTTTCTCTCTTCTTCTTTTCTGGTGGAGTTATGTCAAACTTCTCAGAACCATATTTTTGTAAAAGTTCTTTGTCATTTAATAGCTCTTCTATTCTGTTTTCTATTTCATTTTCAAGAACAGCGCATGTGTCTTCTTTGCATTCTAAGAAGTTTTGTTGGACTTCATCTCTCCAAGAGGCGTCATCTCTGTCAACAAGTCTGTCATTGACAAATTTTAAGACTCTCTGCTTAATGTTTTATGGTTCTTGTCATATTCCCAGAAACAGAACTTTAGAACAAATTCACCTTTCTTGTTTACACTATGTAAGATTTTATGGTCGACAGATGTTTTGCTGTCGAAAAGCTTGTCTCGAATATAGATAGCGAAATCGCTAGACATTTCCTAAAAGATAAAAATTTTAATTTTTCTAAAAATATGTTAGAAAAAAAGTTTGCTGACATTGACAAAAATTTGAGAATGTTTTAAATAAGAACAAGAGGAAGTTGGAAAATGCTCAGATAAAACCCATACATGACAAGTTCTTATTTGCTCAGAATGGTATAACAGGTCTAATTGCACCA